GTCCGGAGCCAGGGTTGGGGGTGCCCACCCCCGCACCCCCGCCAGGGCCCCGGGGCCGGGGCTCGACAACGCTGATTATAGTAACCTTTCTTTGTCTTTCAATTCAAAGTCAAATGCATCAATTATCTAAATGTATCTCCCCAACTTGTCATTCAACTCCCATCCACTACAAAGTAGAGTGATCAGAACAGATCTTAAAGTGTCTTCCCAGCACGATGTGTTCCCACTGTTTGAAAGCACACATAAGGGCCTATAGCTCTTTGTCATAGGTGAAAGCCTGTATTCGCTGCAACTTGATTTTCTACTCGTGAATTTTACAGGCCTTAGGTCAGTTCCATCATCTTGCTGAAGAACATCATGAACCCCATACTGACTTGCATTCGCGGTTAACACAAATGGTAAGGTAGGGTCAGGCAATTTCAGCTTAAGTGTTTGGGTGAGCGCTTTCTTTAGTATGGAGAAAGCCATCTGAAAAGTGGGTTTTCATCTGAAGGGGAAACCAACTGACAAGTGGGTGTCCATCTGAAGGGTAGTAGAGAAGTTCATGATGAACTTCATGTAGTAGGAGGCCAGTCCGATGAATAACCTGATGTCTTTGACTGGCTGTGGTGGTGGCCATTCCCTTGGACATCCGCAGAAATTGCATCACCCAATTACATAACTGAATAGGCAACAAAAGATTACTTCCCTACACTACTAAAATGATAATAAAATCTCTAACGCGACAAATCTGAAATCCGGGCCATCATCGGTCCTACCAGCCCACAGCCCAGATTGTCAGAACCATCTAACAAATCTGTCGTCTGGGTCATCAGGTCCTACCCGACCGACGGCCTGGATAGATGCGGTCTTAAGATCTTGGGACCGCGCCGAGATCCGGGCCGTTGGTCCGGACCGACGGCTCAGATAGACGCGCCGAGTGTCGTGGGGTACTACCGGAGTTCATGACGTCGGGCCAACCCAACTTTCCCATTGGACTGGCCGTTGTCGTGCTTCTGCTGTTGTCGTGAAGTGCGCCATATCCGTTGTATTCTGTGTTGCCGTGCTTCTGCTGTTGTTGTGAAGCGCGCCGTGTGCCCGGTTGTGAAGCGCCCTGTCGTGAAGTTCTCTCTCTCTCTCTCTCTCTCTCTCTCTCTCTCTCTCTCTCTCTCTCTCTCTCTCTCTCTCTCTCTCTCTCGACTGTGGTTGGCCGTTGGTGC